TTAAATATAAATAAACAATAGGTGCCCTGCCCTCGGTAAAGTTTTGAATGGTGAACCAAATACGGTTCTATTGAATATTGGACATCAGCATAATAGAAAACGAGTAGTATTGGCTGAATTTAGAAAAACTCTACACCAACGATCAAAAAATGAACGTTTACCACTACGCACTATTTACGATGAGGTTTCTGCTTTTCCAAATTACATTGACGCAAATTTATCTCCGTTTGAGGCACACAGGCAGGTCAGTCACGCCAGCACCCCAACTTCAAAATGTTTGCACCAACATTTCACAAGATTATGTAACCATTTTGTAACGAAATGTAACCACAATAACTTTTTTTGTAACATACAAGGAAGTTCACAATCCCAACTTTTAAATTATGTTGCCAAGGACACGTCACCCCAGCACCCGATACACTTCAAAATGATTATTTTTACTCGAAACATTCACAAGATTATGTAACCATTTTATAACCAAATGTAACCTAAAATTCGAGATTCCCGACTTAACACAAATCCCGTGACAGCCGATTTAATTAGGCCGGGTGCCTGCAGGGACACGCCACCCCAGCACCTCAGTACCCTCGAAAATTATTTTTTTTACTCGAAAATTTCACAGGATTATGTAACCTTTTTGTAACCAAATGTACCTAACCTAAAATTCGAGATTCTAAACTTAACTCAAATCCCGTGAAAACCGTTATTAGTAGTGGTCGCGGTTGTGAATGGGTATTAGAATACACGGGCACACGGAGCCCGGATACGCGGGCAAAAAATATATTAAAGTCCGTGTAATTAATATCCGTGTATACCCGTGTATTTAATACCCGTGCATATATTGTATATTAATTCAGAATTCAGATATACTTTAATATAAATATTTTTTTAGCTAACTTTTCTTAACTGTTTATACGAGTCTTTATAAAATTAAATAGCACTAGAAGTTAATTATATTAATACTAATTTATTATAAGTTATTTTTATAGTTATTAGTTATGCTTAAAAATTAGTATGATGCATTCGTTTATCGTATAATATTACATAGGCATTAACGCTATAAGCTATAAGTATAATAATATATAAGAGAGTAATATTGAAGCTGGTTTTAAGATTCAAACATAAATATTCGCAAAGTTATCTTATAACCAATTTTATTGCATTACATTTACGTACCTATACTACCTATGTATCCTTTTTATCTAAACATTTTTGGTGATTTTAAAATTGTTCCATAGTCCATACTGGACCTTATTTGTCTGTGTTCACTTTACTAGTATTACTACTTGTCACGTGAAGTGTAGGTCTTGACATTTTTATTATACATATTAAATATTCTTTCTTTGAAAAATGAGTTATCGATCTAAAAGTTGGGTATGGCAATACGGTAAACGCCAAGGTGATGAAGCTTTTTGTGATCTGTGTGACGATAATTCAAACAAAATGTTTTGTTGTGCTAGTGGATCAACGGGATCATTCGGCAGACATTTAAAATTCATACACAATATAAGCAAAAACACTCAAAATCAAAGGTATGCATAAATTCAATTCATTTGTAATAATTCAAATAAAAATGGACGGGATTGAAAATTTGAATACAGTGAAACCTCTATTAATGGACACCTCTCAATAGTGGACCCTTCCCAATAGTGGACACTTCTAAATTCCCCGGCAAAAATGTATGAGCATAATAGGAGTTATAACCTCTTAGTAGTGGACACTCTTAATAGTGGACGTGGACCCAATAAACTGGTACCAAATTAAAAATTACCTCTCATAAATGGACACAATACATGTACATATCGAAAACGTTTAATAAAAATACTATATTTATCTGTTATATATTCGTTCATATTTTATCTTATCTTAATGGTTTTCCTATTCGAAAAATTACTAATGGTTCGGTTATGTGTTCGGTCGTTAGTTGTGTGCAGCACATTGTGTGAACACGTACCTGCGTTAAAATGAATAATAATAAAAGAAAAAGATTGAACTTAGAAGAAAAATTAAATATTATTAAAACCAAGGAAACAGAAAATCTAAGTGTTCGTGTTTTAGCAGAACGATTTTGCATAAGCAAGTCACAGGTAAATTTAAGTATTTAATTTAAACACATACATATTTTGTTTTAATTTATCTAAAGATCATTTAATGAAAAATACAGGTGAATAACATTTTACAAGATGCGTGTTATTTGAAAAAAATATTATGCTGAGAACGGCAATGAAGATATGAGGAGAAAATTTTCGAAGACATCGGATGGAGCACTTGTAGATAAAGTTACATTTTAATGGTTCTGTAGAGACCGTTCATATAATTTACCTGTTTCTGGACCATTGCTCCAAGAGAAAGCACGAGAAGTTGCAAACGAGGTAGGTCTAGAAAGTTTTAAAGCTTCAAATGGTTGGCTTCCAAAATTCCGAAAACGTCATAACATTTCTTTTAAAAATATATGTGGTGAAGGTAACTCTGTTGATACAAGTGTCGTAGAAAAGTGGTTAGAAAAATTGAAAACATTAATTTCAGATTATGAACCAAAAAATATATTCAATTGTGATGAAACAGGTTTATTTTTTCGAGCACTTCCTGATAAAACATTGTGTTTAAAAAACGAAATTTGTCGTGGAGGTAAAATAGCTAAAGATCGTTTAACTGTGTAAATATGATCGGGGAATTTGAAACTCCGTTAATAATAATTGGAAAGTCACTAAAACCATGTAGTTTCAAAAGTGTAAATGTATCAACGTTAGGTGTTAATTGAAAAGCTAACCGTAAGGCATGGATGAATCGAGATTTAATGACAGATTGGCTAATGTGTTTTAACAGAAAAATGGAGATGGAAAATAGAAAAATTATTTTATTTCTAAAACATATTTTAAAAATAAAGAAGATGAAATCGCATCATCAATGCATTAACCTTTTTGAACTAAACTTTACTCAAGGCGCCCTTCCCAAGACATAGCATGAATTTATTTTTAGACCAGGTAAATTTCTACGGCGACGCGGCGCCCCTGAAAAGACATCGCGGCGCACCAGGGCGCCGCGGCGCATAGTTTTGGAACCGCCGTTTTATACCATTAATACAAGGTAATTAATTTGATGATTCTGTGTTTAACTTTTGTGTTTTCTATTCAATACTTCAAAATGTCATTCATTATTTATAGGTCTGCAAAGTTCATTAGGATCAAAAAATCCAAATACGCAACTTGGAATATTCATTAAAAATAGATTGATGGAAAATACTACCAAGCGTGTTTCGATAGCCTAGAAAAACAAACTTTAACACCACATTTTTCTAGGGCTACATTGATGGTTCCGAGGTGCAAAAAGGTTATGTTTGGGTTGGAAGTAAATGCCAAAGAAGCAGAAACATGATTAGTTTCTGAAACAGCTGCTTTAATTAGTAATGTTTCAAACACTGGTAAATAATAAATATTTGTACTTAAATTTATAAAATATCATTAAACATAATTACTAATTAGTGAACTAATTTACATTAGTATGATATAATTTAAAAATAAATCACTTATATATACACCAAATGTAATTCATCATTCTTAACATTTTACAAAAATATTATTTAGCTAAAATGTGATATGATTAAATCTTTCTGTAGAAAAACTGCAACCAAATATGCATCGAAAAAGTAAAAAAAATATCTAATGTTAGAAGAAAATATTTTGGAAGCCGATTTAATATTTATTTATTCAAATTATGGAATATTAAAAGCAGCCATAAAAAGTTTAGAATAGCAATGTCTTCCGTTAGTTGATTCCATGAAAATTGATGAAAATATTGAGAATAAGTTTAAAGAAGTATCTTGTGCAAATGGTGTTGAAATATACAATAAATTTAAAAATGCCATTGAAAAAAATGACGGATTTCGACAGTTATCAAATATATCCAAAATTATAACTGGAGAAAATACCTCAACGAACAATATACCAGAAGATCTTTCAAGCAGTGACTTAGTATACTTTAGGTGTGTCCCGTCGCCCCGATATCTTCAACGGATGTAGAACGAAGTTTTTCTCGATTCAAGAACATATTTGTTGAAAACCGACGTGCATTTTTATTTGAAAATCTAGCCAAGTCTTTAGTAGTTAATTGTAACTCTCCAGGTAAATTTAAAAATATCTTAAAAATCTATTGCATTTGTTTGAATTGATTTTCGTTCATGACTTTTTGTTTAGATGAGTGAATGTTCAAACTACAACTCAATGCAGTTCAATACAACGTACAAAAATATTGTAAATACATTTTTCTATTTAGTATAGATTATTTAATAAATTATATACATTTTAAAACTAAATAAATGTATTAAACTTTCATTTTTGTTTGCATATTTTCGCATATTTTTGCATATTTAAAGTGCATATTTTAATAATATTCAGTGCATAAATGCATGCATATTTCGTACATTTTTTGTGCATACAATTCCGGGCCTTAGTTATGATGTTGTAAGTTATTTTATTAAAATGAATTTCTTTTTTTTTTATGAAACTCATATTTTGTCAGGGGTATTTTATAGGTAATTTTTAAAATATAATAAGTAAAATTACAATGTATGAATTTAGAATTAAATATCTAGGTAATAAATAAATGAATAACCATTTGTTCTTATATCGTATTATATGGTCATTAAGTGGATATATTTATAATTTATATTGCGCAATACTCATTGGGAAAATTAAACTTCAACAAACTAATGGTAAAGTGACCCATTAAGATAGAATATCTTTTTTTCATATAATTTACTATTCAATTGTTTTATTTAAGAAATACTGGTTTGATATTTTCTGACCACTCAACTCTTTGTTTTTATTATTGTTTAAAAGCTTAAGCAACATATAAATGAAATTTATCGTTTAGTAATTTCAAAACTCATTAATTTTATATTTAATTAGGGGTTTCCATTGGTCTACGCTCTAATGTCCAGAAAAACAGAGCAGAATTGCACCCACAAACAATTATGATGGATTTTGAGCGTGCATCCATCAATGCCATCAGGTCGCAATTTCCGAGGACCAGAATTGTCGGTTGCTGGGTTCCATTCCTCCCAAAGTTTGTGGCGAAAAATCCAGGAATTAGGTAAAATTACTACTATGTAGATAACCTAACCTAAAACAGATCAAAAATACTAATTAAATAATAATTGTGTTCTTAAAATAAAGAAATAATATATATTTATTATTCAAACTATTTGCTAAATATTATAAATACCTATATTTTAGGGTTAACTCGTTTATACAAAACCCATAGAAAAGTATATGACTTTTTTCGAATGGCGGTGGCAATAGCATTATTACCGCCAGAAAATACATGGGAAGGATTTATGGAATTGAAACTTTTTTCCGTAGCAATATTTATAATACTGTTGAACCAGATGAAAGTTTGAAATTTTTCCAATTCCTACAGTATTTTTATAGGACTTGGTTAACATGTAATTTAATTCTGTAAGCAGATAGTATTTATTATCATTTAATTTTTCTCTAATACTGAGAGTATGAGTATAACTGAGTGAGGATCAAAATTATAAGAAAATTAAACATTTTTATGATTTTCAGCTAGCTGTTTTTTTTTCAATGTTAATAGTTAATACTAATAAAACCACTTGTATAGGCTTATTTTCTGAACTACTGTCTGTAACAGACTTGAACCGGCTTACAAATAATGTATTAGAAATAAGCCATAGTAATCGTATGACTAATATATAACTATAAATATACTATTTATATGTAAAGTATGAACAAGATTGATTTTAATAATCAATTGTCAGCTTTAATTTTTTTGATCTATTTTTCAGTTACGCCTGGTTAAGGTGTTGTATTTCCTACTTAAACAAATGTTTTTATTTCAGAAATGCTTATTAGATATACGGGTGGTATAATCAATGATTACCGGTTAGCAAGTGATGGGATTGAAATAAGGCAACCAAGACCACGTGTATGGATAGCACAAGACAAAAAAATAAAAACTGGGCTAACCAAGTTGAGGAACCACAGATTTTCAGTGGCCGAATTTTTGGTCTACTGTAAACACAGTACACCAAATTTTGGAATAAACCATCCCAATGAAGGTGGATTGATTAATTGGTTAAAATCTTTTTTTTCATCAAATTTGGAATAGGTTACAATATTAGTTGTACCAAAAAAATGTATGTTTTGTTTCAAAATCTATCACTTTTATGACATTCATGTAGGCTTCACATTTGTCTACTTTTGTATTCATATATTTTATAATATTCTTAGATTCAAACTGAATATAATGGAATATATTTTTTATACCTTGATTCAGTTTTTCATATTATTTAATTTAAAATTGAAGAGAAGATTTTATTGTCATTTTAATCTTAAATACTTATAAGTATACAATTTATTACATTATTATTATTTTATAGAGCAACAAGTTGATGATGATGATGATGATGATGATGCGAATAATATTGCAGATAATATTTTTAATTATGATTTAATTTAAAATTTAAGAGATAATTTTACTGTCATTTTGATCTTAAATATTTTAAGTATACAATTTATTACATTATTATTATTTTATTGAGCAACAAGGTGATGATGTTGATGAAGCGAATAATATTGCAAATCATATTGGTAATCATGTCTACTTTTTTGTTGTTTTTGTACCTATAAGCAAAATATAAATTATTTATTTATTGCAGAGCCAGCAGAGAGCCAAATTTATGGTTATGAATCGCCTCCTCCATTTTTCCAGCAGGTACTTCTAAACCATAGTCTGCCTTTGATGTCGCCCTTACCGCTATATGAACCACAGTATTTTGGACGGCTGCAATACGATTGCGCGCGGTCCTTATCAGCGGTACCTTTTTAGGCGTACGATTGCGCGTGCTAAATTATTTTTACTTCTAAGCAACGTTGCCAAATACACAGATTATAGGTTTTAAATGAAATTTTCATAATAACTTCAGAAAGGGGAAGTGATTTATTAGTGGTGAAGAAACACAAATTTCGACACGTCAGACAGCGGGAAGATCAACAGATGGAGATGCTGTAAAAAATATAAATTTATAAATAATAAATTAAATAGAAATAGAAATTATTATAACTATTTTTTATTATTTGTATATAATGTGATTTTGTATCAAAATTGATGATTTTCAATCGTGTACCAATTATTATTGTTTTTTTTTTTTTTAATTTTTTGACCTAAAAAATTGAATTTAGAAGATATCACTCGAAAATTTGTTAGGTTTTTATAAAAATAATTATTTTATATTTAAATAATAATTTGGCAACGTCGCATCCAATTTCACGCGCAATCGTATGCCTAAAAAGGTAAAACGCGCGCAATCGTACTCCACTGTTTTGGACAGAGTAAGATACTGAACTTAGTATAATACTTTATAATATATGATTAATATATATTTTACACACATGTAGCTTTTGTTTTAAAAATTTAATACTTATTCACAAAACATTTATCAGCCCGTTTTTCAGTACTTTTTTTTTTAATATTCAGTATTCACTAGATCTGTTATGCATATATTGAGTATTGACTGAAGTTTAATAAAATATATTTGGGTATATCCAGTCGTTGTTATATTTGTAAATTGTATGATTTATTTGAATGATTGTTGGGAAATGGTAATCATTATATAAGTTAATAATTCCTTAAGATTGATATTGAAGATGATTATTATTGTTTTTTTGAATTTTTATGCATGTCTTATATAAACTATTTATTTTAGAACCAATAGGAACCGAAAACGATGGTGATATGCCGATTGTTTATGTCGGAAGACAGGATGAAGAAGGTAATAAATAACCTCTTAAAATATTTATTTAACAATGTGTAATATACTAATATTCATTTTTTAATATAGGACTAGCTTTGAAACTAAAAACCTCAAAAAAAAAAAAAAAATTTTATATTGTTTACTCAAAAAGCATGGTAGACACTATAGTAATTTAAAGAAACACAATCTAAATAATGTTGATTAGAGTAGTTGTAGATTGTCTTCTGATTTCACAATATTTATTTAATATTTCCATACTATCTATTTATTTATTTCAATTATTTTCAATTTAGAGTAGAGCTATGAATGTATTTATTTTACTAGGTAGTGTATGTATACACAATTTAAAGTAGAAAAAAATTTCAACTTAAGTATATTTTCTGATAGGAATCTAGCTGGTACTCCTGGGAGGACAAAATTCTAGTACTTTTCTCAATAATTGGGGAAAACAAAAATAAATTATTAAAAACAAGTTTTATATTTTAGATTGATTTTTTTTTTAATTTTCATTTAACTGTTGATAAATTTTTTTTACTCAGTTAGACAACTTGAAACTCCTACGTATATTATTATATTTGTTTAATTGAATGATAGTTGGGAATTGGTAAACATTATAAGTTAACAATGCTTTTAGAATTTTTGATTGCTATTGAACATAATTATTATTGTTTTTTATGGTCTTTTTATACATGAACTAAATAAATTATTTATTTTAGAACCAGTAAGGATAGAAAATTATGACAATTTATCAATTAATGTTCACTTCAGGAGACCAAATGAAGAAGGTTAACCTCTTAAAATATTTATTTATCAATGTGAAAATGTGTGACAATAGTTATTTAATATCTTTATACTATCTCTTTATTTTAAATTCTGAGTGGAGCTAGAGAATATTTAAATAAAACAAATTATATGTTCACATTTTCACACACACACACACACACACACACACACACACACACACACACACACACACACACACATCAATCAATAATTTTAATATGCACTTAATATACTACAGTTTATGACTGTATCGATATTATAAATTATTATTATTACGGCCATGTAACCATACATGTTTATGTGGTGCATGCTATGAAGGGTTAACTAGATTGGTTTGCCCACTATGCCGAGAACCTATAAGAGAGATTGTTGTATTTTTAAGTTAATTTCCAAATGAATTTTGTTTTATTTTATTTAAATAAATAATACTTTTGTGACAGTAAAACATTTTTATTCTTTAAATGATGCACATTTCAAACTTTAATAGTGCAATAACATTAGTTGATGACTTTGATTATAAGAAATACAATATTTTAATATATATATATATATTTTTTTTGAGCCAAGTACACATATTTTGACTTTTCCCCAATTTTTTATAAGCTTTTCGTTGTCATGATTACTATTTTTACCAAAAACATTAATGATTCACACATTATCCTTGGAGACTTGGAGTGTAAATTATTGTGTGGTTTACCACGTAACCGTAACCTTAACCTTTTTTTCAAATAGGGTGATTGTAAATTACTATTACCTATTTGTATGTACTAATGTTATTAATTATTATATACATAAATAGTTTTTGACTATTAATTTCTGTTAAAAAAATTAGGCATAGGTAACTAAAGTGACTGACTTGAAAAATATAATAATTATAATTTATATGAGTTCAAAGTTCTATATATATATCTGTATTTGATTTTTTACGGGATGTGGCTCCTTCTAATGGTTATAATTTATAAATTCTAATTAATGAACATTTTAAGCCACTAACAAAAATAATGTAAATGTTAACAAGATGTCAAGATCATATACATTGTTGTAAACAATAATTATAATAGTATCTTTGTAACTAATTGATAAAATAAAAATAAATAAATAAACAAATACATATTACACATTACCCATATAATATATTATTATTATAAAACCAATTATAACAATATATTGTAATAAACATTAATCATTAAAACTAATTTAATAATATAAATTATTTTTCTATTACAGTAGTAACCAATAGGTTATAGGTGCCATACTATATAACCACTGGTATGCTAGTAAGAAGGAATATATGATCAATAGGGAAGCAAAGCTTTGACCTCATGGGCTATGGATTTGATTGTTTTACTATTTTATTCATTACTTATTACAACACTCAATTCATGTCAGATTTTAATGAATAAGAAAAAATCTCAAAAATATAATATATTTAAAGAGTTTATTTCTAAATGACTAAAATATTTGATATTTTAGAACTTGTTGATAGCTAAAGTCTAAATTAGGTACATTTTATGTCTACTTGAAAAGCAACATCCTAAATCATACAAAAAACCTAATTGTATTTCAATGATTTGATTTGTTTGTTTAAATTGAAGGAAAAAGTAAGAAACATACTGAACTATTAAAAATTAGCCATACATAAAAATAGATATGTCATATGAACTATGCATATTGAAAACGTTTAAAAAAAAGTAAAAACAGACTGATACAAATCTGCTAAATAACACGAAACTCTTAATTACGAGGTAGTGGTTTTGAACGTCACTTGGGCGAAACTTTGATATATAAATAATTCCCCACTATGTTACACACTAAGGTTAAATAATACAGAGTATACCTAGGCTCACAGACACAAATAAATATAAAATACGAGATTAGGGATAATTATTCAGATATCAGAAATTCAGAATTAATATTAATTTTCTTAAGAATAATATGCAATACCTACCTACTTTAAATAAATACAATAAGCCATATAAGAGTACGTAGGTACATACGTTTTATTAATATAAAAAAGGGTATTATTTTTAGCTTCAAAGTACTTACATATTATAATTATTCAAAATTAACTATTGTATTCTCAAAAGTCAAAAGTGTATAAAACTATAATATGCATTTGTAATAAATTTACATAAATGAATTATAATTATACAGAGATCGAGTGTAATGTATTTTTTTTTTATAATATTTTTTTATAATGTGATAACAGACATCTTATTATCAGGACTTTTAGATCACCGCTCGATAATTTGATCCCGAGACAACTAGATCCACGTTGTTACCATAGGTATGGTTGGGATCTCAATGACCCGGGTCCTATTTGTTCATACACCGATCATAGAACATTAAGATAATGCTATTATCTTATTCATTATGATATAATCATGGTTTAAATAAGTAAGTATATTTAAGCCATGGATATATTATTTTCGGTACGCAAAAATATATTTTTTTTAAATGAGGGACACCATTCACCCTAAATCAAGCACTGTCTATATATAATATAAATAGAAGATTAGTAGAATAGTAGATTATAGCTAGATTCTATTTGACAGTGTTAATAGTCATACCTCCATAGTATAGTAATAATAATTATAGTAATATAATACTAATATGTATATTATATATGTTTTATATATTGTACCTACTGCCTACAACCTACCTTTAGTATATTGCATATTATGTATGCTTTACACTTGCACAATACAAAACATTACATATTTACATTAAATTATTGAACATGTTGTAAATTGTTAAATTTTATATAAAACTTGATACCCACATGTGTTGTCTCCGTCTTACAAGTGCACAATAAAGCAAATTTTAAGCTTTGTCTATATAATAATCTTACCTTTAGATTTTATAAGAGGTCAATTCAACTCTAATTTTTAAACTAACCGAGCTACACGTGTTCTGATTTGCGTAGAATTTGCTATGTTACGCACTTGTAAGACGGAGAGAACACGGCGGATATCACGTCCTCTTAACTTTGTTTAGTATATTATATAAAATTTAATAATTTTATAATTAGATCGACAACAAGCCATTCATTAAAAAAATAAACTTGTAAATTCAAAATTGAAAAATTGAAATAGATACTAAAGTGGGAATCACTTTAAAGTTTAAACTCCATTTATTCAAAAATGATCACTTAGAAAATATACAGAGATTATTTAGTTCAGCGATGAACAAATTGTATTTTGATTTTTATGAATTAATATGTGTCTACAACTGTTTTACTTTGTCTTTGTAAGTTTGAATTTAATAGTTTTCTTACAGGCACGCACACTAAAATTGCAAAAGATGCATGTTCTACATTACCCCAACAGTAGTTACACACTACAACAGTTTGTCTAACAAATAAATATCAGAATGTATTACAGCCTACATATTATAATTAGTAAAATTGCACTTGTTAATCATTTTTCCTTAATAATCTTAAGATTAATGAAAAAAAGGAAAAAAATAAAAATAAAAATAAAATCTTGGTAAAACATTATATTCATAAATACTATTTGTAAATAGTAAAAAAAAATTATGACATTACTTTTTGAGTTGTTTCTTCTTCTTCAATCTTCTTTTGCTAACAGTTTTTGGTTTTTGCTAGTTTACAAGTGACAAATTAGTATTATTAAATAAAATATGATATAATTATACTCTACTCCATTTGCGTTTACCCACTTTTATACATACAGACTGAGCCTATAAAACGTTCGGACCCCTCAATCTGTGCCAGGCACTTTGTGATTGCCACATTGAATGCCAAAATATAAGAATAAAATACCATATGCAAAAAAAACGTAGACATGCACAAAGAGTATTGAGAAAATGTTGTGTTAATACTTTTATTATATACTAGCTGAATAACTTGGCTTTGCACAGAAAAAAAAAATTGTGATTAATTAACTCTTTTTCGGTGTAATTCGCTGTGCATAGGTATGGAAGCAAAATCATATTATAATTTAATTTTTAGCCATCCCACGTGGCGTTGCCCGTGAGTTTCACCTATGGTTATAGCGATATCACAGCGAGGCGGGAGATAAAATATACCCTATATCAGTACAGATTTTTAGATGAAAAAAAATTTGTATACATAGTGTACCTAAAATAGTATTGAAGTCATAGTTGATCATCCCGGATTTTTAGGAGTATTTAATATTTTTATACTAATATATTTTATTTTATTTTTAACGACAAACCAGGGTAATTGTACCTAGATTTGTGAAATAATTCGCATATATAACCTGCAACCAAATTCAACCATTAATAAACAAAAAAAGTTTCGATTTCCACCGTGAATCTTAAGATTCCTGGTTTACAACCTCTTTAAAAAGTGAATATCAGATAATCCTTTCTTATTGCATATCTAGATCATTAGAGGAACCACTAAGTATTCCATCCAAATATCAAGTTTGTACGTTTTGTATTTTAAAACCAATATTGCATATCTAGTTCAGATATTACTTAATAGATGGCGCCACTGTTGTATTCTTAAAACCCCTTATTTTCTTCTTTAGGGATTGAGTTTCCAAAAATCCTTTCTTAGCGGACGCCTACATCATAATAGCTATCTATATGCCAGATCCGTCCAGTGGTTCCGGCTAGGTTACGAAGAATCACTCAGGATAAGTCATTTTATATAATATATATATATATAGATACACTGTGGTTTCACGACATTCGACACCAGCGCTCGTAATCAGTAATTTTATGGGGAAGCAGCACGGTGGAGATAGATTTGCTTCAGTCGAGTGGGTAAACCTCAATGGAATAGAGTATAGATGCTAGTTTAAAGTTATACTTACAGTTGATTCAGTTTTTATTGCTTTTAATGCGTCTATATACATTTGTTCATATTGTTCCAAGTCAGAAATGTCGACTTTCATATTTTTCAAACTAGTCTTACCCGCAGAGTTTAAAACATTTTCAAATAGTTCTTTCTGTAAAAGAAATCAATTTGAAATAATAAAAAATAAAGTTACAATATTATGATAATGATATTACATGTTCTGGAGTGACAAATGTAATAGCTTTCCCTTTATGGCCAGCTCGCGCTGTTCTACCAATTCTATGTATATAGTTTTTTGGATATTTTGGTACGTTATATAAAATGACACAAGATATCAGTTCAATATCAATACCTCGAGCTAATGAATCTGTGCAAATTAATCTATATAAATATACCAAAACAATAATTAATACATAATTAATAATACTAATGTATAATATATGAAAGCTTACACATCAATTTTTCCATCTGAAAATTGTTTAATATAACCAGAATGAGCTTTTTGAGTTACATCAGAAGAAATTTCATTAACTCTTAACGGTGAGTTATTTGTATCAAATTCACTGAGTTTGCATAAAAGTCTAGTTAAACGATGCACTTCTATTTTTGATTTGACAAAACAAATCACCCTTTTTAGGCCTTTACTCCTTATCAAATGATACAGTGTCAGAGGTTTATTTTCTTCTGGACACAACACCATGTATTCTTTGAGTTCTTTGGGAGTTGTGTATTTTCCTACAAAGTCACCTCGTACAGGTTCATCAGTGCCAGTTGCATCTAATATAATTTTTAATTAGTTAAGTGTTAAGCTTCATTATAATGTTTAAGTTAAAATTACCTGTAAGCAATTGTGTATTTTTTCTTTTTATGATTGATGTAAATAATTTAGGTTCAAAGAGTTTCAGAAACTTTAATTTCTCAGGATCTTGAGTAAGTGTTGCTGAAAATAATAATCTTTGTGTTCTTTGTGGCGACTCGTTTAATGTATTTAAAGTACATATTGTAGGTCCATTATATGCTAAACAAAAATTAAGTTATATTCTATTTGTAAATGTAATTTACTATAGTAAAAAGTAAAACTTTATTTATGTAATCTACCTAAGCTATCATTAACTTTGTGTAGCCATTCATTTTGCAAAATATTGGTAAAACTGTCAGCTTCATCCAAGACAAGAAATCTAAGATTTTTCAGAGAAAATCCTTCAGTGTAATATAAATGATCAACCAACCTTCCTGGAGTGGTGACTATGATATCTACAAGGTCTGTCCATCCAAGACTGCTATCTATAATTATAAAATTGGTATTATAATATTAAAATTTGTAAATTGTATGTTTTTCTGTTATTTGAAATTTGCATACCATATTGCACGATCCTTTCTTTTTCTTTTTCTAGAGTCGTGTTTTGGGATTCCAAGAGAAGCACTCTCAAATTAAATGCATTTTTGATATAATATAAAAACACTTTGAATACTTGTACAGCCAAGTCTTTCGTTGGCAATACAATGAGAGCACGGAGTTGATGTCTAGAGAATGTCTTTAATGTCTGTAATAATAATATTAAAATAATAAAAAAACATAAATATTTGACAATGTTGAAATAATTTTGGTTTGATGAGCACGCCCAACCTGTATTATAGGAAGAACGTAGGATAGAGTTTTTCCACTGCCAGTTGGTGCTGAAATACATAAGTCTCTGAGCCATCTGTAGTCCCAATGTTTTTGTGTCTTAATTATCCATGGTACTAGTTGATTTTGAACTGCAATAAACGTGTATCGTGATCAAAATGTGACAAAGTATAATTAAAGTATAATTTGTAATTTGAATATGTTTTAAATTACCTGGGAAAAAATGTGTACATCCTTTGTTTTTCAGTTTCTGAACTAAAGCGGGGTCCAACTCTGGAATACCGTCAATGGGCACTTCTAGGTGTTTTAAATCAACCGATACAACCGTAGGTTTTGCGAGCCAGTCTGGTAGGACTCGTTTTACCTATACATTTAACAAAAATAAATAGTAAGCAGATATAGGAATGTCGTCAAGATTTAAAAGGTAATAAACATAAATTATGAATATGATACCTTTTTATTTTTCTTGAACCCATGCGTGTCTATTAACGTGAATTCCGATGGTGGTGTCGTGGAGTCCATAATGTAATATTATCTTACTTATTAACCAAAGAGGCATACGTAAAAATATACAGTTAAAAGCTCACACAAGTACACAACAATACAATTTATATTATGTGCAATGTGCGTTTTTATTGTTATATTATGAATTATGATAATTGACAGCATGCTGTTAACAGTTGTAGTGTATGTCAGTATCAGCGTTTACTGAAATACTTATCAGAATATTAGTTCCACAAAATAGTTGTCCCAAAGTCAATTTGTTCACAGAAATAATTGTTCCAACGATTAATTGTTCCACAATCCATTTATGCCATAAGACAATACTCCCAATATTTTTTTGTTCTGTGCCACTTTACTGAATACATGGAACATTCAATGCTATAATATGGCAAATTTAATTTAATTTGTCATGCAGTAATATAAGCACTAATAAAATATGGATATTAAACATAACATTTTTTTCTGACCCAGTTCAAAAATAATAAAAATTAAGTTAATCCCTTATAATATTATATTTATCACTTCTAATATAACTATAGGCAATCATATTATCGTCAATAGACAATAACGTTCCATTTTCATACAACTGTACTATTAGGTACGTATAATTGATATTTGAAAATATAGGTATAAAGTAAAATAATAAAATATAATATTAATATAAATAAAAGGTGCTCTGCTGTACAGTAGGTTACCAGTGGGTCACTGTATAATGAATGGTATTAAATTTGAATTAAATGATATAATATCATTGTATAAGAAAAACGATTCTGAGCGGAGACGGTATATGTCTGTCTAATGTCTATAGACCTATAGGTTTAAGACTTAATATTATAAACATATCAATGGTAATAAAAAAAAATATGCACAGTCTTATCATTGAGCATACTTCTTATATTATGGTAGATTATATGGATAGGCCATAATATTTTGATTCTTTGATTTTTCAGTTTTATATATCCCCGAATAATATTTTTAAATTACAACAAAAAACTAAAATCGTTAAGATTGATTTTAATATGTAATTTCGTCCAAATTTGAACTTAAAATGACTATAAAAATAAACTGTGCTTGTGTATTTTTTAGATTTTTTGGGAACAGAATTAACTACTTACACGGAATCTTGTTTTAAATTTTCAATCCTTAGATATAAAAGTAGAATATTTTATAAATGTTTAACTACAAAATAATTATTCAATTTTAAATTTTATAAATTTTGTCAAAATTCGATCTTTAAATGTTATAAAAAAAAAATTGTGCCTATGTATTTTTAATATTCTTCAACTGATATTGTAACATTTTATCAGGAGCCTTGTATTAAATTTTTACACTTTTTGGCCCAACAGATAAAACTTTATTGAAATTTATAGAAAAAAAAAACTAAAAAAATTGAAAACTGTAAATGTCCGCGAATAGCTCTAAAAGAGTCAAAATATTTTTCAAAATTGTATGGTGTATAGGAAACGCTAATACAAACATTCAGTTAAATTTTCATGTATCTACAGTTATTCGTTTTTGAATTACAACAAAATAAGGAAATCGCTACATGAGACGTCGAGTGAATATCTAATGTTGTAAAAATTTGAATTTCAAACGCTCATAAAATTTAATTTGACTTTCTTATAGATATGTTTTTTTTTGATAAAGGTAGATAATCTTATATGGAATCATGTATTCAATTTTAAAATCTTAGATTTAAAAAAAAAAGTTTTATGAATTCTTAACTCAAAATAATTTGGTAATTTTCGTGATTTTTCCATATTTTGGCAATTTTTGAACTTTAAATGCTTATAAAAAAAAACTGTGAAGAAGGATTATTAATATTTTTCATCTTCTATTAAATTTTCAAGCTTTTTTAACCAACAAATAAAATTTTATTGATATTTTTCGAAAAAAAACTAAAAAAAAAAGGAAAATGAAAATGTGCCTAAACAGTTCAAAATAAATCAAAGCATTTTGAAAATGTTATCGTGTATAGAAAATGCGAATATAAACAACCAGTGAAAAAACATTCTAAAAATAACCCATTGTATGGGCACGGCAAATTGCATAATTATTGTGTTGTTGTCGGTCGATCCGTGATAACGAAAAAATTAATGTTAATCACATTAGACATGGCCTATCCAAATTACAAAAAATATAAAATAATGAAATATGTAATATTCTTAAAAATACGATGGATATTAATAGTTAATGGCGGGTATTACCGCCGTTAACGAGAAATTCGGTAAAAACATTCTAAAAATAACCCATTAAATGGGCACGGCAAATTGCATTATTATTGTGTTGTTGTCGGTCGATCCGTGATAACGAAAAAATTAATGTTAATATTATATTCGAGCGACCGTGATAGCTATACCTAACCCGTCTGTAATGTCAACATGAGTCCATCGAGATTTTTAATTAGGTACAATCGGTATTTCACGTAATTGAAGCCATATGTACTACGAAAATCCTGGATAATCATTGTTTGTTCATCGATAATCGGTAATAAAAATGTATTTATAACAACGTCAATGTTCACATGGTAAATGGCGTACCCATTCATCAAACTAATTACCTAATTAAAGTACCTAATTAAAAATCTCACGACGTATTAATTATAATACACGACAATACCAGCCGACTGTCGTCTGTTTATATATAGATACTTTTTCCCCGCTTTCTGGGGAAGTTTGTTGAATGGGTACGACATTTACCATGTGAACATTGACTTTGTTATAAATACATTTTTATTACCGATTATCGATGAACAAACAATGATTATCCAGGATTTTCGTAGAACATATGGCTTCAATTACGTGAAATACCGATTGTACCTAATTAAAAATCTCGATAGACCCATGTTGACATTACAGACGGGTTAGGTATGGCTATCACGGTCGCTCGAATATAATATTAACATTAATTTTTTCGTTATCACGGATCGACCGACAACAACACAATAATAATGCAATTTGCCGTGCCCATACAATGGGTTATTTTTAGAATGTCTTTACCGAATTTCTCGTTAACTTCGGTAATACCCGCCATTAACTATTAATATCCATCGTATTTATAATAATATTACATATTTCATTATTTTATATTTTTTGTAATTTTGATAGGGCATGTCTAATGTTCATAACTGTCGGGAATCGAATAATTCAACAGTGTCACAACATCCGCGAGACCACGAAGTATAAAACATACATTTTAATACACGACACTACCAGCCGACTGTCGTCTGTTTATTTATAGACACTTTTTCCCCGCTTTCTGGGGAAGTTAGATGAATGCGTACGCCATTTACAATGTGAACATTGACGTTGTTATAAATACATTTTTATTACCGATGATCGATGAACAAACAATGATTATCCAGGATTTTCGTAGTACATATGGCTTCAATTACGTGAAATACCGATTGTACCTAATTAAAAATCTCGATGGACCCATGTTGACATTACAGACGGGTTAGGTATAGCTATCACGGTCGCTCGAATATAATATTAACATTAATTTTTTCGTTATCACGGATCGACCGACAACAACACAATAATAATGCAATTTGCCGTGCCATACAATGGGTTATTTTTAGAATGTTTTTACCGAATTTCTCGTTAACTTCGGTAATACCCGGCATTAACTATTAATATCCATCGTATTTATAATAATATTACATATTTCATTGTTTTATATCATAGTTTAGGAACCGATATTTTGGTATATTTCTTACGTAACGGGACAGCATTTTTTCGTCGTTTTCTTTTTCAAGTATCTTGATTATGACCCAGTGATCTCCCCCCCCCAGCTCTTTACACTGTAATTGTCATAATATATACAAGCGATAATTCCTATTTCAAAATAATGGTTGTTAAGAAACGGAAATTTTTTCATAGCGATTGGTGGCCCTGAAAAGGGCCGTTTTAGTTGAGTATTGATATTTCAAAAGGTTTGCCTTATTTGGAGCTGGTGTACTTGGTCACAGCTTTGGTTCCTTCACTGACGGCGTGCTTGGCCAATTCACCGGGCAACAAGAGTCGGACGGCGGTTTGGATTTCCCGGCTGGTAATGGTCGAACGTTTGTTGTAGTGAGCTAGACGACTGGATTCGGCGGCGATGCGCTCGAACAGGTCGTTGACGAAGCTGTTCATGATGCTCATGGCTTTAGACGAAACTCCGGTGTCGGGATGTACTTGTTTCAACACTTTGTAGATGTAGATTGCGTACGATTCTTTCCTCTTGGGCTTGCGCTTCTTGTCGGACTTGGCGATGTTCTTTTGTGCCTTGCCGGACGACTTCTTCATTGCTTTACCCGCCGATTTTCCTCCTGGAGCCATTTCGAATAGTTGTATCTAGACTTGTTGACGACTGAAACGTTGTGAACTGGGTGATAATTTTTGTATCATAGCGGTGGGTATATATTACCAAATCCAAACGACAAGTCGTTCGTTTATTGGTGTAAATACCATAATGATGACGATATAAATAGGATCGCCGATTAGTCCACAATAACTAAAAATAGGAGTTTCTCCACAAGTACGTTTCATGATTATGTCCAATGAAAACAACATCGTTTGGTAATGAAAGTCAACCAAACGTTGTGATGTAGTACCGTAGTGTCGTTATCTCTGTCCAATCACAGAATTTTTATCCACAGTTTTACTATATATATACGAAAACTTCAGGCGGAATTCTGCATCAGTCTTATTCAGTATCGAATTTGAACCGTACCAAGCACTATTACAATCATGAGCGGACGCGGCAAGGCAGGAAAATCGAAGGGAGGCAAATCCAAGACCAGGTCGTCCCGGGCCGGACTCCAGTTCCCGGTCGGACGTATCCATCGTCTGTTGAGGAAAGGAAACTACGCCGAACGTGTCGGAGCTGGAGCCCCGGTATACCTGGCCGCCGTCATGGAGTACTTGGCAGCTGAAGTTTTGGAGTTGGCCGGTAACGCCGCCCGTGACAACAAGAAGTCCCGTATCATCCCCAGACATTTACAATTGGCCATCAGGAATGACGAGGAGTTGAACAAATTGTTGTCCGGAGTAACCATCGCCCAAGGTGGTGTGTTGCCCAACATCCAAGCCGTGCTCTTGCCCAAGAAGACCGAGAAGAAGGCTTAACTCTGCTACCTTAAGGCGCGTCCACACTATGCCGATATATGCCATATATTCATTTTGCCATTTGGCTTTCTTTGATCCTGACCGACAGTCGACGGATACGGCTTGGCATGCCAGTTGGCAAAACTTTGCCAAATGGCCTGTGCCAACAAAAAGTCCACATCACCCTTGGCAATGCCATTTGGCAAAGCCATATGGCATAGTGTGGACGAGCCTTTACCCACCAAAACCACAGTTTAAAACGGCCCTTTTCAGGGCCACCAAAATTTAAAAGTAAACGTCTGTTCGGATATTTTTTCAGTGGACACACTAGATAGTAAAATGGAATGGAATGGTGTTTAGATTATAAAATGTAAAACGTCCACGACCACTCATAGTGTAGTACATTAGAGTACATAACATTAAACACGTATACGAATACAACTTAAGTATATCTGAGACGATAAATTATTATCACAATTAATGTCAAATTGATTTTATCACAGATATAGATAATAAACCACGTTTGAAATATTGGTAATGTTAAGCTCCTCAAGGTTTTGGGGCACCGGTTAAACTTATGTGATTATTTTGAAATGTTCTGTACACTATTTTTAACTCATATATTAGAACCAGAACCGCAGTCACTAAATTTAACATCCTACTATCCAGTAAATAAAAACAATTATAAGTTCATGGAAATGTGACAAACGCGGCAGAGAGGAGTTTCTGGGAGTCTTTTTATGGTAACATACCGAAATGATCAAAATTTACCAAATTTACGTATACTTTTCTCGGTAAATTACCAAAAAAAAAAATTTACATCTCTAAATCCAAATATACCACGATAGCGATTCTGAATTAAAGTGACTTAATTCCATTTCCTTCATATTTCGAGGAAGCCGTCACTTCTGGCGTTGAACCTAAAATCTTATTGAAAAAAAATTATCACATCGAAATTAATAAGGTACACTGTCGAAATGAGGTGGCTCATCGCCAAACATTCTAAACGCTAATTTCACTCAAATATGGCTACGCTGAGTCCACTGGCAGCTGTCCTTTACCAATTTATAGCTTGTGCACGTAGTGATAATGATAACGAATTGATAACCTGCGAGTGAGTCATAACGGTACTTAAGCATAAATGAGTAGCAAACCTGAAGTATCAAGCGTCTTAATACTTTCAACAAAAATCGAAAAATGTTTTTCCATATAAGTTAGACCATAGTGATGAGTTTTTTTTTTTTTATTCAAAATATTTTTTTAGCAATTGATTAACCCGTGTATTTTATAGTTACACCTATACGTGTTTTCATTGAATTTATATCATATTGTTGTAGGCATTAAGTTATATTAACTGTAAATAGACCAAAATATTTTAAATCCTCACAATGGCGATTGTTCAATTTTGGTTTGATTGTGACATCAAAAATAAGGCAGGAATTATCGAGGTAATCAGATGATTAGCTATAATTATACAATGAAATACAAAATATATTCTTAAGTACCTGCATTATTCTAATGTCTATTTTCGGTTATTTGACAAAATTACGACGCGATTAGGTACCTATCATGATTAGTGCCTAACTGTGTTGTAAATACCGTGGATGCGGGTATTACCGCCGATAACAAGAAATTTGGTAAAATCATTCTAAAAATAACCCATCGCAATTTAATTTTTATGTGTTGTTGTCTGTCGATCCGTGGTAATGAAAATATTAATATTAACACATGAGCGACTGAGTAAGCTATACCCAACCATATCATACCCGTCTACAATGTCAACATGGGTCTTTCGGAATTTATAATTAGACACTATCGGTATATTTTACTTAATTGAAGCCATGTAAACACCGATAATTCTTGATAATTACTGTCTGTTGATCGATTATCGGTAATAAAAATGTATTTATAACAATGTCATTGTTTACATGGTAAATGGCGTACCTATTTATCAAACTTTCCCAGAAAGCGTGACAAAAGGATCTATAAGTAAACAGACGATAGTCAGCTGGCTGTGTTATAATGTATGTTTTATACTTCGCGGTCTCGTGGATGTTGTTCCACTGTTGAATTATTCGATTCCCCGTCTTATAAATTTGGCCCGCGTTGTAATATTTGTTCTCCTATTCTGTAAAATATAATTATCAACTGAATTGTATTCATACAAATATTGGTATTAATAGCACACGCTGGCTGATAGTGTAATATCAACAATTAGGGATGGGTCGTTCGCGAACGATTCGTTCAATTTGAACGAATCAGTTCAGTGAACGAATTGATTCAGATTCGGAAAGTTAGAACGATTCGTTCACAAAATTAATTTCGTTCGTAACTTCACTTGAATCGGGACCGACTACGAATCATCAATATTCTAATATTATTACCAATGAATATGAATATATGATTCGTTATTTCGTTCACTGATTCAAGTCTAGTTCAGTCTCAAAGCAGCCGGCTGCACTGTTGCAGCTGTTCCCCGGCCAATCCATTATACAATTACCTACCTTGTGGTACCCACTATCAGTTAATATGACTGTGATGATAACTGATAAAATTTGGAGTACTATCCTAAATCATAATATAGTAATAATATGCAAGGCTGGGCATTAACGAGTTAATAAGTTAAAGTTAAGTTACTTTAACTAAGTTAATTAACGAGTTACTTTTTTTTTTAGAAGTAACTTCTAACTTAACGATTTACATTTTTCCCCATGTTATTCAGTAACTTAACGAGTTAATTAATTTTATTGGCACGTTAAGTTAATTTTTTCCCAAACCACATATTATTTAAAATTAATTCAATTTTGTAAAATTAATTACATAAAAAAAAACCCGAAATATTAAATATATTTTATTAAATAATAATTTATAATAATAATAGTAAGTTTTTATATTGCATATTCACAGAAAATATTTTATAACTATATTTTTAGAGGGAAATATCATAGAGATGACTCTAACCGCGTCAAAGAAAAATATAACAATTTACTCAGTACCTATCCCATACACGACATATCACCTAACCTATACCTAATCATTATTAATATCATTACTTATTATTATATTTTTATTCATTCATAGAATTACGGTGATAACTTGGCCCGTCGATGTAAATAATACCCGTAGTAGCGTGGTATTTACTATTTACCTAATTAAAGTATAATACACAAAATTAATATAAGTACCTACAGTAACTAATTTTATTACAAACATTTATTCAAATATTGTAAGACTACTAAGACATTTTTTGATTTATTGAATTATTATGTTATTTGTTAGCTTTAAAAAAGGTAGGTAGGTATAATTGTTAATTTTATTTTTAAAAAAAAAGTAACTTATTTTTAACTAAGTTAAGTTACTTTTATTTTCTAATTAACTTGTAACTTTTACAAGTTAAAACAAAAATGAATTTAAATTTTAACTTTAAACTTAACTTACATTTTTCTATATTAACTTAACTTAACGAGTTAAAAAAAATAGTTAACTTGCCCAGCCTTGATAATATGGATAGAGCCATTAATAAAATATATAATATAAAATATATCATCACCAATGATTCAAAATCGATTCATTTGTCATTTGATTATCATTATGCATGATAAGTGATAACTGAATGAAGTAATTCAACTCAGTTTATTGTATTGGTGAATCAAATGAATCAAATGAACGAATCATTTGAACGAATCAATTTACTGAATCGATTCAAATGATTCGAATCAGTATAATGATTCATTTTTCCCATCCCTATCAACAATTATCAATCTCCCTCCCGTCGCCAGAATACAAGTACATTTTGGTGGCCCTGAAAAGGGCCTTTTTAAGGTATGACAACTTATGACGACTATCAATTTAAGCACGTTCACCGCGGATACGACGGGCCAACTGGATGTCCTTTGGCATGATCGTGACACGCTTGGCGTGGATTGCACAGAGATTGGTGTCTTCGAACAGACCCACCAAGTATGCCTCGCTGGCTTCTTGCAACGCCATGACGGCGGAACTCTGGAAACGCAGGTCGGTCTTGAAGTCCTGGGCGATCTCGCGCACTAGACGTTGGAACGGCAATTTGCGGATCAAAAGTTCTGTGCTCTTCTGATAACGACGGATTTCACGGAGGGCAACGGTTCCCGGGCGGTAACGATGTGGCTTTTTCACTCCTCCGGTGGCGGGTGCGCTCTTACGTGCGGCTTTGGTGGCCAACTGCTTCCTGGGTGCCTTTCCGCCGGTAGACTTACGGGCTGTCTGCTTGGTACGTGCCATTGCGCTGCTGGATTGGATTGTTCTGAGTTGGACTGCAAAACGTGACTGCTGAACGAATGATGCGGTTCGACACGCAGTCGACCGGTATATATACGTAAATCGGAACCGTGTGGGTCGTCCTCATTGGTCGATGTTTAACGGTTAGAATTGTAGTGGTGGAGGGCCGGGGGGATAACCGGTCATGGTTCCGATTGGTGGTTCGGCTTCGAGAGAAACGGTTAAAATGGACTGCGACCTGAAGAAAAGTATCAGTCAACGTTCAGTTCACATCCGAACAAGTCCAACACCACTCAAACATTCAAAATGACAGGACGAGGCAAAGGAGGAAAAGGTCTGGGAAAAGGAGGCGCGAAACGTCATCGTAAAGTGCTCCGTGATAACATCCAGGGAATCACCAAGCCCGCCATCCGTCGGTTGGCCCGCCGAGGCGGTGTCAAACGTATTTCCGGTTTGATCTACGAAGAGACCCGTGGAGTCCTGAAGGTATTCCTGGAAAACGTGATCCGTGACGCAGTCACGTACACCGAGCACGCCAAGAGGAAGACCGTCACCGCCATGGACGTCGTGTACGCTCTCAAACGACAAGGCCGTACTCTGTATGGTTTCGGAGGTTAAATGCCGACAGTACTTACTTTTGAAGTTTAAAAACATCCTAAAAAGGCCCTTTTCAGGGCCACCATATGATGACATATATCGCGTATAATAACATTAAAGCAAAGTATACAAATATTGTATGTTCCGGAGTTGTTCGGTGGCGTCATTGATGAATCCCAATTTGTTTAAGAAAACACGGGGAATAACGTTCCGATTATAATATTGAAGTAGATTATCTATGCATTGTTTCTTTGACAGTTTTTCCATGATTTAATTGAAATACTGCAAGTCAAAACATAGAAACAACACTATATTCCGTTGATAACGTAATCCTGTTTGAATATTATTGCGGCACTTTGAATCAATATTACAAAAAAAAGCTTCAAGTACTATCATTATACTTTTTTTAGCCTCCTTGGATGATGTTCTAATAAC